CGTCCACCTCGGGACCTTCAGCCTTGATGCCGGACATCCCAAATTTGGGCATCTTGAACTTGGGCATCTTGAATTTTCCCTCAGGGCCGTGGATGTCGACGTCGGGTGCTTCAATGTCCACTTTGGGGCCTTTGATGTCCAGTTCAGGACCCTTCAGGTCACCTTCCAGCTTTGGAAGGGACACGTCCACATCACCCTTGACCTTGGGGCCCTTCAGGTTGAAGTCGATGTCGGGCATGGAGATCTTGGGGGCCTTGATGTGCATCTCGGGCATCTTGAACTTGGGGCCTTTGATCTTCCCCTCGGGACCTTCCATGTCCACATCAGGGAGGTCCACATCAACTTTGGGGCCTTTGATGTCCAGTTCAGGACCCTTCAGGTCACCTTCCAGCTTGGGGACAGAGACATCGATGTCCCCCTTCAATTTGGGACCTTTCAGGTTCAGGTCGATGTCGGGCATGGAGATCTTGGGGGCCTTGATGTGCATCTCGGGCATCTTGAACTTTGGGCCTTTGATCTTCCCTTCAGGGCCCTCAATTTGAACATCTGGAGCAGAAACATCAAATTCGGGGCCTTTCACGTCCACCTTTGGACCCTTCAGGTCACCTTCCAGCTTGGGGACAGAGACATCGACGTCCCCCTTCAATTTGGGACCTTTGAGGTTCAGATCAAAATCAGGCATGGAGATCTTGGGGGCCTTGATGTTCATCTCGGGCATCTTGAACTTTGGGCCTTTGATCTTCCCTTCAGGGCCCTCAATTTGAACATCTGGGGCAGAAACATCAAATTCGGGGCCTTTCACATCCACCTTTGGCCCTTTCAGGTCACCTTCCACACTCGGCAGGGACACATCAACGTCACCCTTCAATTTGGGACCTTTCAGGTTCAGATCAAAGTCGGGCATGGAGATCTTGGGGGCCTTGATGTTCATCTCGGGCATCTTGAACTTGGGGCCTTTGATCTTCCCCTCGGGACCCTCAATGTCCACACTCGGCATCTCAACGTCCACCTTGGGGCCGGACACATCCAGGTTTCCTGTTGGGAGGTTCACGTCCACCTCGGGAACTTCTCCCTTCAACCCAAATTTGGGCATCTTGAACTTGGGCATCTTGAATTTTCCCTCAGGGCCGTGGATGTCGACGTCGGGTGCCTCAATGTCCACTTTGGGGCCTTTGATGTCCAGTTCAGGACCCTTCAGGTCACCTTCCAGCTTGGGGACAGAGACATCGATGTCCCCCTTCACCTTGGGGCCCTTCAGGTTGAAGTCAACGTCGGGCATGGAGATCTTGGGGGCCTTGATGTGCATCTCGGGCATCTTGAACTTGGGGCCTTTGATCTTCCCCTCAGGACCTTCAATGTCCAGCTCTGGACCTTCAATGTCCACCTTGGGGCCTTTGATGTCGATGTCCGGCAAGCTCACGTCCCCTTCGATTTTTGGTGCAGAAAGATCGACGTCCACCCCACCTTTGACCTTGGGACCTTTCAGGTTGAGGTCCAGGTCCGGCATGGAGATGTTGGGAGCTTTGATGTTCATTTCGGGCATTTTAAATTTGGGGCCCTTGATTTTCCCTTTCGGACCTTCCACGTTGAGTTCGGGAGCTTCCACGTCCACCTTGGGTCCTTTCAGGTCCACCTGGGGCAAGGACACGTCCACGTCTCCCTTCACTTTGGGACCTTTCAGGTTCAGGTCGATGTCGGGCATGGAGATCTTGGGAGCCTTGATGTTCATCTCGGGCATCTTGAACTTGGGGCCTTTGATCTTCCCCTCCGGCCCCTCAATGTCCACCTCCGGACCTTCAATGTCCACCTTCGGACCTGACACGTCCAGTTCTGCTGCCGGCAGGTTCACGTCCAGCTCTGGCCCCTCCCCTTTAAACCCAGAAACACCAAATTTGGGCATTTTGAATTTGGGCATTTTGATTTTCCCCTCCGGGCCGTGAATGTCCACATCGGGGGCCTCGATGTTGACCTTGGGGCCCTTGATGTCCATCTCAGGACCTTTCAGTTCCCCTTCCAGCTTGGGGGTGGACAGGTCAAACTCCCCTTTCATTTTGTGTCCCTTCAGGTTCAGCTCCACGTCCGGCATCGAGACTTTGGGTGAAGAAATGTTCAGAAAAGGCATTTTGAATTTGGAGCCCTTGGATTTTCCCTGGATGTCCAAATCCGGAGCCTGGACCTCAACTTTGGGGCCGGACACTTCAACCTCAGGTTTTTTAAGCTTCACGTCCACCTCAGGGCTTTGAACTTTTGGGCCAGAAAAGCCAAACTTGGGAAGTTTAAACCTGGATTTTTTAGCTTTTCCTTCAAGGTCAACTTTTGGCCCCTCCAGCTCAAGCTCCGGTCCCTTGATGTCCAGTTTGGGGCCTTTCAGCTCGCCCTCGACCTTGGGGAGAGAAGCATCGAGGTCACCTTTCAGTTTGGGGCCTTTCAGGTTGAGGTCAATGTCGGGCATGGAGATCTTGGGGACGTTGAACTGCAGCTCCGGCTTCTTGAACTTGGGACCCTTCAGTTTCCCATCGGGGCCTTCGACGTCCAGCTCGGGGACGGAAACGTCGACCTTGGGACCTGAAATGTTGACCTCAGCCTCTGGCAGGTTCACGTCCACCTCGGGGCCTTCAACTTTGGGCCCAGAAAATCCAAATTTGGGCATCTTGAATTTAGGCATTTTAATTTTCCCTTCCGGGCCGTGGATGTCGACGTCGGGTGCCTCAATGTCCACTTTGGGGCCTTTGATGTCCAGTTCAGGACCCTTCAGGTCACCTTCCAGCTTTGGAGCAGAGACATCGATGTCCCCCTTCACCTTGGGGCCTTTGAGGTTGAAGTCGACGTCGGGCATGGAGATCTTGGGGGCCTTGATGTGCATCTCGGGCATCTTGAACTTGGGGCCTTTGATCTTCCCATCGGGACCCTCAATGTCCACATCAGGGAGGTCCACATTGACTTTGGGGCCCTTGATGTCGATGTCTGGGGCTTTGAGGTCCCCCTCGAGCTTTGGAGCAGAGACATCGATGTCCCCCTTCAATTTGGGACCTTTCAGGTTGAAGTCGACGTCGGGCATGGAGATCTTGGGGGCCTTGATGTGCATCTCGGGCATCTTGAACTTGGGGCCTTTGATCTTCCCCTCGGGACTCTCTATGTCCAGCTCTGGACCTTCAATGTCCACCTTGGGGCCGGACACATCCAGGTTTCCTGTCAGGAGGTTCACGTCCACCTCGGGACCTTCTCCCTTCAGCCCAAATTTGGGCATTTTGAACTTGGGGAACTTTATTTTCCCTTCTGGGCCGTGGATGTCGACATCGGGTGCCTCAATGTCCACTTTGGGGCCTTTGATGTCCAGTTCAGGACCCTTCAGGTCACCCTCCAGCTTTGGAAGGGACACGTCCACATCACCCTTGACCTTGGGGCCCTTCAGGTTGAAGTCGACGTCGGGCATGGAGAATTTGGGGGCCTTGATGTGCATCTCGGGCATCTTGAACTTGGGGCCTTTGATCTTCCCTTCAGGACACTCCAAATCCACATCAGGGAGGTCCACATTGACTTTGGGGCCTTTGATGTCCAGTTCAGGACCCTTCAGGTCACCTTCCAGCTTGGGGACAGAGACATCGATGTCCCCCTTCACCTTGGGGCCCTTCAGGCCGAAGTCAACGTCGGGCATGGAGAACTTTGGGGCCTTGATGTGCATCTCGGGCATCTTGAACTTGGGGCCTTTGATCTTCCCTTCGGGACCTTCCAACTCGACATCAGGGAGGTCCACATTGACTTTGGGGCCTTTGATGTCGATGTCTGGGGCTTTGAGGTCCCCCTCGAGCTTTGGAGCAGAGACATCGATGTCCCCCTTGACCTTGGGGCCCTTCAGGCCGAAGTCAACGTCGGGCATGGAGAACTTTGGGGCCTTGATGTGCATCTCGGGCATCTTGAACT